GGAACAGTGGCAACCCACAACAGAGAAAAAGTATAAAGCTGCAGCAGCTGGGAAGACAGCTGAGTGGCACAGTGTCTGCCCACCATGCTATAAGCCCTGAATCCGAGCCCCACCACTAACGAACACTACACATTTTAATTTTTAAATGAACTGGGAGACAATCTGCCTGCTATAGCCCAAAATGACCCAGATTATAGCTTTGAACCAGTGCTATAAATTATAAACTACACTAAGATTTTAGCATAGCAGAAGTATTGCAAAATAAGCTGCAAATACTTAAGCAGCTCTTAGAACACAAACTTAGGATACATTTAGATTAAAAAACACTTCTAAAATCTCAATTTGGTGGCACATGCCTGTAATTCCTGCAGTCAAGAGGCTGAGGCAGGATTGCCATGAGTTCAAAGCCATTTCGCACTCAAACACAGTTGAGTTCAAGCCAGCCAGAATTACAGGAGTATCTTTTGAAAGGGAGGGGGAAAAGAAGAGAGGGTAGAGAGGGGAGGGAAGCGGAGGGGGAAGGGAGGGGAGAAAAAATGATTCCTGCTAGTGCTATCAAGATAAATACTGCTTTTTGGGTGTTCTGTTTGCTACAAAGGCTGAATACTTTGTCCTATTTTCCTCATATCAGCCTTTTTGTGTGTAATTGTGGGGACTGAACCCAGAGCCTTGCCAAGCTCTCTACCAGTGAATTACACCCTGAACCTTTTTTTTTTTTTTTTTAATTTTTGAGTCAAAGTCTCACTGACCTGCTCTGGATGGTCTTAAACTTGTAATCAATTTTCCTGCCTTAGCCTCACAAGTACTTGGAATTATAGGCAAACTGGCTATAATCTAGCTCAAGAGATTTAAAGAAAAAAAAAATCAAAGAGAAATCAAAAGCCTCATTATAACAAAACATTGGGCTTCATAGAAAGTTGTCACATGAGTGAGTTTGGTCAGCAGGAAATACCACTTTCCCAATAGGCAATTAGGAAAACAAGATTGTAAGAATACTGAAAAATTTGAGTTTTTAAAAAATTGCTCTACCTCCAGAATAAATAAAGCCAATATTCAAGCAAAATGGCACTAAGTAGTAAGGCTAAACCAGAAAGGGATATCTGTACTTTCAGGAACTTTCAAATTTATCACAATTACAAAGTATCTCTTCGCCTGAGAAATCAAAAGACAAAGGCATCACGGTAAGCAAGCACTGCATTTCTATGAAACATAAATCATTGCTATATTGTAACTGCAAAACTGGAGGCCACAAACAGTTCAGAAATATACATTTATAATCAAATGATTGATCAGCCATAATTTGAACCTTTTTATCACATTATATAGACATTACAATTCAAGTTTTGTGTCCTCAGTTATTAGAATAAGTGTTAAGTAGCTCACATTTAAAAAGATTTTATCGTTACATTATCAAATCTGACGAAATCTTATAAAAGTCTCTATGTATTCAATATAAATATACTGTTAAAACATGTAAGGTGACACTGAAAGAAAACTGCTGAGGTACCAGGAAGGGCCTCCTATACAGACACAACTTACAGTCAGAACTACAAGAATTAATTCTTAAGAAAGTTCAGTCTCTACTAGAGGCACACCTTGTGAGCCACAATAAATTTCCCCAGCACCCTTTGTTTCTTTATTCTAAAATTCTTCTGTTAGGATTTTTTTCTATCATCGACACATAAAAATTACACCTTTATAATATATAATCTTAATAGTAACATGTTGAAAATTGCAGCAAAGTGCACATTAAACTTGCGACTACTACTCAAAAGCTTTCATTTTCATCAAATAAAATGTAAAAAAGACAATACTTGAACTGGGAGTTGTGATGCACACTTGTAATCCCGGCACTCAGAAGGCTGAGGCAGGAAGGTTGCCCCAAGTCCAAGGTCAGCCTGAACTACAGTGAGATCCTGTTTCAAAAACAGGAAAAAAACCCCAAAAACTTCACTTAAAACTAAGGGCAAAAAAGGCATACCTTTCTTAAAAGTCCCCAGGGAAGAGATTCTACAAAGGATTTCCCATGTTTTACAGGAAATTTACTTTCTCTTAATAAAGGTTAAATTCTATTGAAAGGCACTCATTTAAAATGCCATATAAAAAAAGAAAAAGAAATGCCATGTAAGCAACAACAGTATTGTCAATTAAAGCAGCCCAGCATAGGTGTAAACAAAATGTAATAAGATTTGGCATATCTTTTCTCCATAAAACTTGCCACTACAATGCTCTTTCCATGAATAATTACTCCGCCTGGAAAAGTTTTCACGTACATTTTAGTTTTTTAAAAACACACTAAAATAATATGTGAAAAGATTTAGTCATGGCAATTTCACCAAAGTTTTTATTGCCTCTGTTGGGAGGATGACAGGGATCATAAGGAACACAAATGAACTTCCAGAGTAGGTCGGCTATGTCAATCATTTCACTAAGATACCTTGATCTCAAGTATTTTTTTTAATGTGGGCACTTCTAATTTTACATTTCACTATTCAAAAAGCATTGTACTTTAAAATGTATACCTGTTCTGACATTTGGCAAGAAGGAAACATGGTTCAACCTGAAAGAATCAGCACGCGGAGCTGAGCACTGGAGACTGAAAGGCTTATGAATTCAAGCAACTCAAGTTGTGTGTGTGTCTTCCTCTCACAGACTCACATACGCTTACACATGCTTTGTCACACACACACACACACACACACACACACACACGTAAGCATTTTTAGTACAAAATATTCCCTGTATCCAGACATTTACCTTTAGAATAATCACAACACATTCAATCAGTTCTCTTTTCAGCCCTAGTAATAGCTTTGTTTAATTCTAAGATGCCATCATAGTGAACAACCTTAACTTTTATGCTACATAATTATATTCAAAGCTTTATGTACTTTTGTTTATAATTACACAGTAATTATAAATGTTTAGTACCAAACTGATGACAAACACTATTTTGTTGAAAAGGTCTTGCATTTAAAAGAAAAATCTGTAAAACCCAAGGCACTAGGCCACAACCAATACCAGATTTTTATGAAAACAATCAGGGGAAAAAATCAGATCTCATTTCAAAACACAGCATACTTGAACTAATCAACCTGAAACAGTACTGTAACTCAAAATCTTTAAGACAGGAAATAAAAGGACATATATGTGTATCTTTCAAATTTTTTCATAATTAAATTTCTCTTTATATTTACAAAATGAAAACAGTGAAAACAGCAGGATTCCTTTTTTTTTCTTTTGAGTAACTAATGCCAATAACCTGAACAGAAATTTTTAAATTTTTCTTTTGGTATAATTATGTTCTTGAATTAAAGTTATGACTGGAACATTAATAAGATATTTCATCAATTTCAAAACTATGTTAATAAAAAGCAATTTTAATAAGTCATTGTTTCTTGAAACCACTTCTGCAACTGCGTAAAATGTACTGCTAGCCTGAAGTACAGTACTTTATTAATATCAGTATGAGGCCTTAGACAGTGCCTGGATATAGCAAGCAAAAAACTTGAAATTCAACATCTTTTAACCTGCCTTACAGAAATGTTTAAGAAAGCAATTAACCCTTCTTCACATGACAATAAGTAAACAAAAATGAGCAATTTAGGCAGGAAAGCTGTTCATGGGTTTCATAACCAAAAAGAGGGGAGTTCCATACAAGGTAGCATTCTGCTTTCATGTGAAAACGAAGCTAACATGAATGAAACAAAAACAGTAAAGACTAAATAATTTACAAAAATAGAAGCCAGATTGGTATTTTTCATCAAGTATATGCTTATCTTAAAATCTTTGCTCCTGAAGTAAATATTTGGCAACCACAGTGATTAGCAATTAAAGCAATTTCAACAAAATAAGAAGTCATCAAAAATGGACTACTTGTCTGAAAGAGCAGTACCTATACTATACAGATTGAACTTCATGGCTCATCATCACAACCATTTCCAAAATGTAATTCATACGATCCTTTTATAAATTAAGAGAATTTCATTTGTGTTCCATAGCACGATGACCAGAAAAGAAAAAACAAAAACAAAAAAAGTAAACTCTCATGCCTAAATTTAGGATATTGCATTGTATAGCAATTCAAAACATTGAAAACAAATTAAATAGTTAACTTATTTGATAGGCAGATAAGCATTTCAAAAGCAAAATGGAATCCAATTATGTGGTGCATAATGTAGACCGGAGTAGAGTCTAACGTTATGCAGACATTTGCTAATAAAGCTCCCTGTAGGACCATAACACATAAACACGGTAAGGTAAGTGCAGACTAATTCTGTGGAACCTTTTTGAAATTGAGAGTCTAAAACACAATATGTTTTCAGGTAGGCACCAAGTTATTCTAAAAATTTTTCACAATGGTTGCTCTGACATTTCTTTCATCTGATACTCTACATCAACAATACATGTGATTTGCCAGGAAAAAAAAATCCCCCCAAGCCAAAACACCATTCCAGATCCTGTACACTTAAATATATCACTCTCATTGGAAGTGCTATTAGCATAGTCTTTGCAACTAGCCCAAAGCATATACTTAAGAAGTTTTTATAAATTGTTTGTGATGTTCATTATGTTTAATTCTTATGCCAAACTGTTTTCTGATGAAGACAGCATTGTGCTTTATGCAAGAATGGAAACCTCAAAATAATCACCATAAAGCTTCTAAGACTTATGGGAGAATAAACTAGGATGGTCCACAAATAGTAAGATGAAATCCACAACGTTGGAATTATAAATGTGTAGAGCGGCCCAGACTAGAAGAAAAGCCCAAACCACCATTAGAAGGATGAAATATGATATGGTCCAAAATGTATCCTTAAAGTTTTGTCTCAACCCTCAGTCAGAATAGTGAGGATTGATCTTCAGTTCAGTCCAGCCAGCAGAAATTGACTGTGCA